ACAACAGGTCTCACTTGAGTAATTTACCAGCCATTGGGTAAAACAAGAATTCCCAGGCTGGTGGGAACCAACTGCCCACTACAACAGCCCAATGAGAAACACAGTGTAGTCCCCTTAGCCCACCAGGTATAAATATCTGTTTGCCATATGGCTCTGTGAAAGGAGAGTTAGATAGAAATTTTTTGCTGTAATTCCTCACTGAATTTTGGTAGCAAAATAAGATTCTGTCATATGCTGACCCTTTTGGCAAAATAGCATGTGACCTGGTTATCTTTTTCTGTTGGCAGTTCAAGGTCTGATGATATTGGGAAGAAAGGATGATCCATAGTGGGACCGGACATTTAGGGTCTGGGGTGGCACTGTGCCTATATCTGCCTGAACTTCGTTTCAGTTTTACATGTGTAAGAAAAGTGGTGTCCATTTGGCTGCCTGGCAGAAGGACTGTTTAGAGTTGGATGGCAAGGCTGAAAGGCACCTTTCATCACCCTGTGAGAAGAAGCAGATAGGATATGTCAATGTAATTTAGTGAGGGAAACCACATTCTTTTTCCAGCTCCCAGTGGACCCAAAACCCAGAGGAAGGATGAAATGAAGCTGGAGAATTAGGTTTTATGAAAGTGCCTGCAATATTAGGAATTTCCACAACAGTTTTAAGAAATCTGAAAGGTTTTGTTGTAATACTCCAGGCTCACATAGAGCTTAGGAAGGAAAATGCACCTGATCTCCTGCTGCCAAGATTGGTTTGGGCTATAGCCCAAGCTATAGTGGCTGTGGATGTTTTCTTGATCTTGGGCTGCGTCGACTGATCATATCCATGAGTCTGTGATCCAGTAGCTGCCCTGCTGCTGTCCTCTGTGCCCATTCCACTACTTGATTGCAGCTTAAAATAATGATCCACCTTCCTTTCCTTTTGTTGTACCTGTATTTTTCAAAGCTTCTAAAGGAAAGATAATGTTTTTCCTTTCACCATTAGGGAAACCTGAAGTTTCTCTTTCTTTCTATAACTAACATTATTCTGAAACCTCTCTCACTTCTCTTCCAACTTTCTTTTACTATTAATATAATGTGTGTACTTCCATCTCAACTGCCGTTTTAGTCTGAAAAGTGACTGTGAAATTATTTTTATCTGTAATGTCCTCCCTGTAAGAATTCAGTTGGTTTTTATTTTAGTGACAAAGACTAAGTAATCTATTTCTTCACTGATATCTTGAAAAGAAACTTATTTATGTAAAGCTTTTCCATTTTGTTCAGACTTATGCAATTCCAGAGCCTGTTCATGTAAATAAGAAATGACATAGGTCCTAATTTTTGGTTGTCTATAGCCCTGAAAGATGTCAACGGATCTGAACGGACAAAATTTGTCATCTTGGTGCTTATGAGTTTACAGAAGAAAACTAATTCTCAGACCACAGGTCGAATCTGCAATCAATTTAATGACAAGCTTCTTATTTGTGTGCTGGGCAGATTCAGTTCCAAAGTATTGAAATTTCCAGTGTCATTGTGGTAATAGTTTTCCATTAAGACACCAAAGTTTTTAAAAGACTGGGAGGTTAAATTCACAGCTTTTTATAAACTTAGGCAAGGCCTTCACTTTTCCAACATGATGCAGAAAAAGAGCCCTGAAGCCTCATGTGGCATTACTGAAGGCAGGGCTTCTACAGGGTGGTGGGGATCACAGAGTCCCTGTGTGCACCATGTGTCTCTCACCCACTGCCCTCTGAAAAGGGATACGCCTCTGCCTTGTCAGATGTATAACTGATGGTCTTTATTGAAATGAAAATATAAAGAGATAAAATTGGGCACTGTCTTATTCTTATACAACTGTCTCTGTAAGTGCATTTTGGAAGTTTTCCTGATGCTGCGAGCTTGACACATTTCTGGCATTTTTAATGTAAGGCACGTTACACACTATCATGCAGTGAATATGATAAATTATTCCACTTCAATTTGCTAAATTCATTGTAAAATGTGTTTTATCTGAATGTTTTAGTTTTGCAATCCCTTTTAACAACTGAGTAATAGACAGTACTATACGTTTTTATTTCATAGAATCATTCACTTCTGATGCAAGTCATTAAGGTTTATGATTAATAAGTATATTGATGCTGCTATTTGCTGGCTATCATGTCTCTTTGTAGGAATGATCCAATGTTCAGAGTTAATTTGCCGTCTCAATGTTTTCCATAATGGATGATGTTTCACACTGTGTTTTAAGTGATGTGACAGAAGACCAAATCATGGGAAAAGACACTCAGAAGGACCTCAGAAGATCACTCACCCCTACTTTGAGGAAGAATCAACTGCACTTCTGCCATGACTCATGGGTATTTACCAAAATATCTGTTTTTGAAGGTGTCTAGCAGTGGAGGTCCCAGAGTTCATGTGGTAATAAAACCAGTGCTTCACTGTATTTCATAGTTTTTCATTAGGGCTTTCTTCTCATATTCAGTCTGAATTCCCTTTCTACAATTAAACCCATTCATTCTTGCTTTCTCTGTTCTATGAATACAGAAAAAATGGTTTTACCCTTCCTCTGAAACATCTTTTTTTCTACATGCTCAAATACCATCTTGTTCCCTCAGACTCTTTCTCTGTGCACTGAACATCTCTTCATTCAGCCTTTCTCAGAAATCCTGTTTTCTGGTCCTCTGATCATTCTTACCACTTCCCTCTGCAGCCTCTGTGTTTGCTTACTGGCTCTCCTGAAGCAGAGTGCTCTGAGCTATATTTGTAATAGAGCTGAACTAGCACATTATGGTTTTAAATTATTTTAGGGAGACAGCAGTATAAGAAGAAAACCCACCAACATCTTAAAAAAAAAAGAACAAACAAAAAAAACCAAGGAAGGAAAGGAGGATGTGTTTGTGGTAGAAGTCAAACTAACAAGGAACTAAACAAATAGTTACGTTTTCCAAGTGAATTTGATATTCACACCCCCCACCCCCAAAAATCCTATCTACAATGCAAGTGCAGGAAATAAAATAGAGCTAATATTTCTAGATTATGAGGCATGTGGTATAAACTTGGTTAAAAATATCTACAGTAAGGAGGTTTAGTGATATGAGGGAAATAAAGTGTGTAAGCAACTTCAGAAAAAAAGAAATCCCCTATGTGTGAAGGAAGACTGTGCTACTCTGGGGTGCTGGGACTCTACTTCAGTGAGAGCGAGAAATTGCATTTCTGTTGCTAAATATTAATGAAATTGAACTATTCATGGCAAGACAGTTGCCATAACAATTAAGTTTTCAGAATGAACAAAATTTTACGGCAGGACCCTAGGTCATAACAAGTGACAGCACAACTGGCAGGAGAAAAGACCAAGAATGTATTAATTAATACAGTATATATATATATATATACAGCCACAAAGATGACCAGAGGGCTGGAGCACCAAGGTGAAGAGAGTTGGGGTTGTTCAGACTGGAGAAGAAGGCAGACTTTACAGCAGCCTTTCCGTATCTAAAGGGCACCTACAAGAGAACTGGAAAGGGACTTTTACAAAGGCGTGCAGTGTTAGCACAAGGGGGAATGGCTTCAAACTGAAAAATGGTAGGTTTAGATCAGATTCCTTGCTGTGGAGATAGTGAGGAACTGGCACAGGTTGCCTGGAGGTGTTGTGGCTGCCCCATCCCTGGCGGTGTTCAGGGCTGGGCTGGAAAGGACTTTGGGCAACCTGATCTAGTGAAAGGTGCCCCTGCTTATGGCAGGGGACTGGTATTTGAAGATCTTTAAGGACCCTTCCAAACCAAACCACTCTATGAATTCTATGATTCTGTGACATGTCTGGTGTAGTTTGTACAGATGGAAAATAAAGATATATTTATATGGATTTCTTTTAGATGCATTTAGATTTACAAGTGCTTGCTTTCACCAAGATGAAATGTGTATCATCAGGGCCAGAGTGGTTCATTTAGCTTGGACAGTATGATACGGTCACTACTGGGATTTCCTAGTGAGAGTCTGTCTGCCCGAGGTCAGTGAGAGACCAGACTGTGGTGCTAGGCTCCCTGCTGCTGTCCCTGGCTTCACCCTGGAGACCATCATGCAACACCTCTTGCCTGTTTTTTCTTGTATAAAATGAGAAGACCTTATTCTGAGTCTGTGTCATGCCTTAGGTTCTGTGGATGACAAACCTTTTCTCCAACAGGAAATTTCTAATTCTAAAACTATCCTTCAGTGGTTGCATTGAATCTCGTGCGGGTGAAGAAATAGTTCTTACTTATTTTGGAGACGTTTGGACTGCATATGTTTATGCTTCAGTGAGCAACTGGATTAGTTTTAGGGTTTTGCCAGTGATAGCTGGTCTTTAACCATTAGTGTTTCAGACCAGTATATTGGATTTCCATAATTCCAGCTGCCATTCCTTTTTGTGTAAAGTAAGTTTTCAGATAAGGTGTCTACTCACATAAATCTGCAAGATATAATGAATGAAGGTAGAGGGAAAGTCAAGCAGGAGTGGGGGACAGGCTTATGAGAAAAGGTTAGCAACTAGAGCTCCTTGGAGAGAAGGAAGAGAATGAAGGAGCAGGAAGGCATGGGCCAGCTGGCCGGAGGATGCTCAGAGTAAGTTCCTTGAGACTCAGCTTCCTCCTGAATATCAGGTTTTGATTTTTGGTTTAGACATAACCTCTGAAAAAGTATTACTGTCAGATAGGAAAGACTAGACACACTGCTGTGGTAAGCAGGTGTTAATCATAGGTTGCATAAATTCTCAGCAACTGAAACAAATAAACAGACCGCTATATAGAAACTATCTGTCTCTGCTGAGTCCTGAAACCAGTATTTTAGCATGAAGAATGAGAGGCGGCAGACAATGGGATTGCCCATGCTCCAGGGTGAAAGCACAGAAATCCCCATACATTACTTCATACAACAAATTCTCTGATGAAGTGCATTGGCTTGTTCCAAATGCTGTTCATCCAGATAAAAGATGCTCTTCTAAATTTCATGTCTCTCACATGCATCCATCATAAATGCCATTGGTTCTGTGGACATGATTTAATCACCCTAATGGGCAGTATTATGATTTCAACTTCTTCCTTTAGGGAAGGTGCAAAAGAGTTTCAAAGTCCTGGTCCATTTAGCTTTTCTGGGTTATATTGAAGGAGCTCCTTAGGCTGGGGCAGACCACTGCAGGTTTCCTCTCCCGTGATAACACCTCTTCTTCTTCTTCTTCTTTTTCCTCTTTTCTGCTGTGACAGGGTTTCCAGAAAGGCAGAGCACAGTTCCATCACGGTGAGCTGAGGTTGTGCCCCATGTCACCGGAGAGATAAAAGCCACGCTGACAAGATGCTCTGCAAAGATGTTCTTCATCCCCAAGAGACCTCCAGAACAGTCTAGGTTCCTGTGGGACAGCAGCAAGCAGGTTGCACTCTTTAATACCCCACACCTCAAACATAGAGCCCTGTCTCCATTTTAAATAAACATAAGCAAATTCAGAGAATTTTGTATATTAACACAGTATTGACAGATCAGGGGTGGAGGTAACTTCTCTAGGGGCTGAAAGGTTTCCTTCTGAGGGAGCAGTGCAGTCAGGCCATTGGTAAGCCTTTGGCCCGTGCTCTGGTTTTGGTGACTCCTATATATTTGTATGCGGGAAATTCTGTTTATAACTGTGATGAGAGACACCAAAACATGGTAAAAGCTCATGACTGTAGCAAAGATAATTACCTCTTAAAATGTGGGTTGATCAGTGCCTGGAAGAGCTTTCATTTGTGGAGTTCCAAGCTGTGGTGCAAACAGTCCTTCCACCCCTGTTTTCATAACAATGAGCATAGTTAGTCAATAAACACCCTCCCTCCATCACTAAGCTAGAGGTGAAAAGTTTTTGACCAATTTCCATCTGCTCTCTGCAGGAGGGCTCAGTCCCAGAGACAGCCTTTGGGCTCAGACTGTTTCTGCTTTAAAAGGTGCATACCCCAACTCCCAGACAACTGAAGATCCCTGATTAAAATACTGATGACGCACTTATTACATGTGGACAAACTGAACTAATTATTTTACCCAGAGATTCTTGAAGTGTCCCTACATCATAATGAAAAGGCTCAGTTGATATTTACTGTGTTTTTGATGCCTACATTTCATTGCTATTTCAGGTGTGCTGGCATGCTCTACTTGAATTTCACTTCTCCCCTTATGACTAATCTATGATGAAGAAGCAAGGAGAGAAGCAGCTCCATAGTGAAAAAGGCCTTGCCAAGTGAGGCAGTAGGGAAAACAATACCTCAACACTTCTTGTCTGTCATTCACCTGCCCTCCTACAATGCGAGCAATTCATTGAATATCTATTTGTGTCATTCCTATTAAAACTTTCCATCTTAAAGGGCTAAGTTCTTTCCCCTACTGAGATTTCTCTTTTATGGAAAGTTTGATGTCAATGTCTAATTCTGTTTCTGCTTCAGACTCAACCTCATACCAAAAGCTGCTTACTTAATGCTGCCAGATAACTTCAGATTCAACCACTGACTGAAGATCTCCCTTGGACCCTAATGATATTTTTCCCCATAGAATATAACTATAATCTCTAAAAGTTTTGATAAATGAATAGAGAAATAAAGGATACAGAAATAAAGGATACATTAAGTCTAGGCTCTATAATGAAGGACATAATGAAAGTAAGATTTAAGAAAAACAGATGTTTAAAAGCCAGGAAGCCACAGAGTTTCAACTCAGAAGCTATGCTGATTGTGAAATATAAGCAGGATTGGCATCAGGCTTAATCATTATTAATGCAATACTTAGTCTTCATTTTCCATCCCTGTACAGACTTGCATTTGGTAAAACACTCTTAAGAAATAAGCACTGTTGTCCTTTTTTTAGTGAGATTAAGCTTTTAAGCCTTTTCTACAAGAGCTGTTGCAATGGCTGAGACTAGAAACTTTAGGCTGCCATATCTATCTCTTCACCATTCAATTGCTCTCATTTTGCAGATGTCCTTGGAAATCTGCAGTCCTTCCTGTCAGCAGCCTCTTACATAGGAGGTGGACAACTGTTGAGGTAGGTGAAGACACCAGAATGGTAACACAGACTTGAACACGTACTGTGAGCCTGTGAAAGCTTTGTCTCCTGCTCTTCAGCTAATTCCCAGCCTTACTTGCAGGGCCTGGCTACGTCATGCTGCCAGCCAACCTTGCATCACTCCACCTTCTACACAAGAGCACTGAATCAAACAGGTAAGGTATAGAGCCATCATTTCCAGCAAATACATGAACTGAGGACTGCTCTGTATTTCATCCGTAAGTGGCACGTCATGGTCACTATCAAGACCCGAAAATATATATCCCTTGGCAGCTCTCCTCTACCAGAAGAAGCCACTTAATGGCTTCTTTCAGAGTTTATGCTAACATTTCTCTGTGGATGGCAGGAGCAGTGTGCCAGCTCAGTAGGTCCTGCTTTTTCCAACTTTTAGGACATGTCTAACCATTATGGGGTTGTAGCTGAAAATCCCAAAGGTATCTTCCAGTTCCATTTTCACAGTCCACAACCCACATTGTGAAAATCTTTGAATGCTAAGCAACATTAAAAAACCTTCACCTTCTAATAGAGGATGAAAATACAGAATAGGATGCTCTTTTTTATATATATTGTAGCTTTTTTGTATACTGCTTAGCAGTCAGAAATGAAATTACTACCTTGACTGCCTCATCAAGGCCATAGCATATTTCTTCCCTCACAGTCAGATGGTTGCGGAGCAGCATTTGCATCAGCAGTTCAAGACCATACTGCACAGTGGTGTGTTCTGCTGTGTTACCTTAGTAAACATATTTTGTGGCCTTAAACCACATTTTATTTCTTTTTAGTGCTGCATAGTAAAAGTCAGTCCTTTAATTAAAAATGGGACATTTGAAGTTGGATTTTATAGGGAATCAGATTTTCCTTTGGTACCTGTAAACTATCCTGGGGAAATAACTGTTGCCACTCCAAAATCACCCTGAAGTCATTCAAATTGAAAGCAGGGTGATGCTGAAACCACAGACTGCAGGTCACTATGTGAATAGCTAGTGATCTGATGAATTTTCTTTCCATAGGAACATGCATATAAGAAACATTGTAAAAGGAAGGTTTATATTCATAGAATGATGACATTTATGTTATGCTTTACAGCCTTGGGTTATTTAAAAAATGTTATTTTAGGTTAAATTATTTCACCTTTCTAATTCTTTTGTCTTATTTGATTATTGCAACATCTTTACAGTTGTGCCTTCCAGTTGCTCAGAAACTCTCCCTCTTTCTGCTGCATCAGGTATTCTGAACTTGCACTCAGGTTTATATGCCTCAAATCCTATAATCCGTGTCTTCCTTGTCTTTTAACATTAAAAGCCAGTTACCACTACTGATTGGTTTCTGCAAAAAACTCCTGACAAAATTTGCAAATATCAGTTTGTGTGATCTTCTCCCTCTTGTTTGGAGGAGCTCTCTCACCTACAATGAAGCAATATGGTCTTTCAGGCTTCTGATGTAACCTACCTTTATAGGAAGGTCTGCAAAAGCTTATTTGAACTGTAAATTACAATCGTGGGTCCTTTGCCAGGAGTATTTACTTATAATGTGTTTGTTTTCCCTGTATCTGTCTGGTTTCCATCTGCTTCACTTCTCTGAGAAGAGCTTGGAATTTCCAGCTATGTGTAGAGTCCTTAACACCAGGGAGTTTCAATCCATGACTAGAGGAATTATATGGCTATGTGCTGCTCTACTGTAAATAGCAAATGATACTTATTTAGACATCCTGGAAAGCAAGACTGAAAATTTCTCAGGCCTGGATCTGTCTTTGGGGCAGCACTTAAAATCACTTGCTTTCAAAAGATGAGCAGAAACCTCTAAGTAAATATTTTTCTTTCATTAGTATTGATGCAGCAGTTTAAATGATCAATATCTGTATTAGTTTACCCAAAACAGTGAAGTTTCAGCTCTGACCACTTGTTTCATCAGTCTTGTGTCTTTTCTTTCTGCCTTCTGCATCCCATCCATGCTTTCTGAGCATTTTCTGTGTAAAGTTGCAGTGGAAAGGACAGCCTGAAGTAGCTGTTAGCTGGTTTCAGAGAGTTCCTGACAGTTTTCCTCTCAGAGTTATAACTGATTATTGCACTGGTTTTGTTTTCTTTGGGGGGGATATTTTAAAATGCTGTATTTTTTTTCTCTCTTTCCTGCATGGGAAAAAAATTGTTTGAATCCAAACTGAAGTTATCTGTACTGTGTATGGGAGAAGAACAAAAGAGGAAGGAAACAAAGGATGTAAATCCAGTTCCTTGCTTCTGACCTCGAGGGGAGTGGGGAGGCTCTACTGAAGTGTCTCTCCTTTCTACCTGCCCACTAGCCCACTGCTCACTCTAGTAGCTTCTCTCACTACTAGTGAGATGGCTGGCAACATTTGGCAGCTGCCAATGGCAGTGGTTCCACAGGCAGCTTGCTATATGTGGCATAAAATCCCAGTTGGTCCCGTTGCATTCCCACAGATATGCTGAGCACACATTTCTGTATTTTTCTACTGGGGTGTGGCAAGTTATCCTACTTTGAGCACAGAGTTTCTATCATTGTTCCTAATGTTTCTTTATATCATGCTACATCCAAAGATCATCCCAGTCCTTCAAAGTATTGCTAAGCACACCCACCCTGTTATGTACATTCCCTGAGGGAGGACAAAAGGTCAATTGTTTTCTGAGTGAGGCCCAAGCTCAACACTGGCTGACATAACGGGCTGGGCTCTCAAAAGCCTGTGGAGCTAAGACTTGAAGTGAATAAAGCCTGTTTTCATCTTTGCCCTGCATACTTGTTCATTTATGGCAGTAAGCTGGAATGTGAACCCAACTGGCAGTGAAATTAATGTATGGGTAGGTTGATTTAAGAAAATCAGATCTCTTCCCTGTCAAGGTAGCTAGGCTGACTTAGGGTGGGCAATAGCCCTAGGTCATTTTGGCCCAATAAATGGCCTTGGTTTTGCATTTATTTTTGAGCTTTCTGTCTGAACAATAAAACTGTGTCTCAAGGGTTGGGATGATGACACTATTTTTGAGCAAGAGAGGTGGAGAGAGGTTTTATAACTATTCACACTTACTTTCTCTTCTCCCCTGCTGTTACAGTCCCTGATCAGCTTTGTCTGGGAGGTAACTAGCCAACCAGAGGTGAAGCTGGGTCACTTTGGGATTCAGCTTCCTATGGCAGGATGCCACATTTAGCAAGCTTGGAATTTGTTGCATGGAGGGAAGTCCATGCCTTATTTAGGCCTTTGGAGCACAGGGGCTTTGCTGTGCTAATTTAGAAAAGAAATTTTGCTGTGGAAAGGGAGTTTTCATCACTTGATCCTTGAACAGCCACATGTTCCCAAAGTGTTGGATGGTGACTACATATGCACACGTAGCCGATGTGCTTGGCATCCTTTAGTATGGACAAAATGTTGCATGGAGTGGTACTTTCTGGGCTTTGTGCTTCCTGGGTTGGAAAGGGTCTGGGCTGCTCTCCATGGCTAGAAAAGACACAAAGTGTGGCCAGTCCACCTGGAGTTTGTATTTGCTGAGTTAGTGTGGTCAGTCCACCTGGAGTTTGTATTTGCTGAGTTTTGGAGTATGCTTTACTCATTTGTGCATAAATGGCAAAATGCCCATGTTCCACTGAAAAGCTTCGGAAATCACTTATAATGTTGTCGCTCCAGAAGCCAGTAAAGGTAGATCCAATTTATGAAAATATTGTGTCAACTTCCCGTAGTAGATAAGTAAGTGCTTTTTGTTGTTTGTTTTCTTCAGACATTAAGTTCTCAAGACAATCTAAGTGAAGAGAGCTTGATTCTGGTCAGCTCTTCCAGAGTTGTTAAAACTCATCTGTATGTGACATGTAGCAGTGTATGTGTGGGAGGAATAAGAAGAGAGATTAGCAGAACAAACCTTCTGCCCTTACTTTGATTCAAAGTCTGGAACTACTTTCCCAACCTGACAACGAACAGCCGCCACACAGCACAAATCCCACAGTCCAGACATTTTTCACAGCATTTCCACTGAAGTTTCAGATTTGCAGCTCAGGGAGAGCCAGAGTATTTTGTAAAGCCTAGCCCTGCTAGCATTAGTTGTGTCTTTCAGCTATGAACTAGACCTTCACATCTTTTCAGCAGGGCAGTGCTGCAAGGGGCTGTGGCAGCGTAGCAGGATGGGGCCTGTGGGCTGCACCTTTGCTTTATTCCTCAGAGGAAGAATGCTGCCTTTCCCAGAGCTCTTACCTGGCTGCCCAACCACAGGATGGGTAGGATGTCTATTGCCACACACAGGACAACTGAGGTTTGCACGCACCATCTTTTCCTGGCTGACCCTGGTGTTGTCATATTCCATGTTTGCTGATTCCATCCAGATTCATCTTGTTTCTGGCGTCAAAATGACTCTGTGGAAAAAAAAATGAAGACATAATTAGCAAGACTTAACATCAGGTTTTTAGAGATAGCTTTGGACAAAAGTTGCAAATAAGATAGAAATGTAATTTTTATTTGTACTTAACAACATTGCTTTTTTATCTGTTTTCTATACCTGTCACTTGCATTCTTCTGGTATGTTCTAGGTGCGAGAACTAGGGCTCCAGACATTTTCTGGGGCTTCTAGATGGCTCCCTAAGTTTTATATCACTCTACCTACCCCCTCTGACATTTCTTTCTAGTTAAAATTTGAGTACAAATGGAAATATTACAGATGGTTTTAGCTGGAGCCAAGTGCCTTCAGTACTTCAGGGCTGCACAGACAGCCCACTAACTAATTGTCCCTTCTCAGTCTGCTCATGTTAAATTCCTTAGACTTCTTTTGGGGTTACAAAAATATTCTTCTGTGATATATAATATCAGTAAGTTATGCTTTGTTAAGTGACACCCATATCCCCAGTTTCTTTAAAGAACTACATATAACCCATTTAATAATAACATGAATAGCAGACCCAGCAAGACATCTGCTTTGCCCAAACATGTCTGGCAGTTTCACAGAATCACAGAATATACCAAGTTGGAAGGGACCCACAAGAATCATCGAAGTCCAACTCCTGGCCCTGCACAGGACCATCCCCAAGAGTCACACCATGTGCCTGAGAGTATTGCCCAAATGCTTCTTGAACTCTGTCAGGCTTGGTGTTGAGACCACTTCCCTGGGGAGCCTGTTCTAGCACCCAACTCACTTCCTCTTCCCCCCGAAATTCCTGTGGTTCTTGTGTGGCATAGTATACCCCATACTTTTATAAGAAGTATAGATAGTGCTCATGTAAATCAAGGTATATTTCCAGAATTTCCAGTCTGGTTTATCATAGTGAATAATGATGTAATCTGAATGTGATTAATTATTGGAAAAGCAAATCTGGAGATATGGATTTAAAATTATTTACATGGAGGGCTTACTAAGATTTTTAGAGCTTAATTACCTTTACTTTTGCTATTAGTTGCATCAATGTTTCCTATCCCTTTTCATGTGTATTTCCATAAAATTCTTAAGTGTGAACATAACAGAATGTTAAAACTAACATTTTCCGAGCAGAAAAGAAGCTAATTCCTAAGCAAGGGAAGCACCTAAACACTTCAAATCCTTTGTCCCACATTGCTACCCAGGGAGTGCAGAGTGGCTTATCTCATTAGACTTCAAAGCATGACACAGAATATAGGAGATAAAAATATCAGCAATATTTTGTACTCTATAGGAGTACTCTATAGGAGATTTTGTACTTTACAGGAGATTAAATCAGGAGACAGTACCAAGTTTCATGCAAAGAGAAACTAACATTCAACTTGTCTGCTATAAGAAAAAGACCTCTGTCTAGTCTGTTCTGTACTGTCCCACACAAAAACACAGAAAGGAGAACAAACTGCAAACTCTTCTAGGTCTTAGACCTGAAAGCATAGAAATCACCACTGAAATGTCAGAGAAGACAGAAATCAAAGGTGAAGTTGACATGTGCCTTTTTTACCCTACATAACAACATTACTATGTCTGTGCTATTTGAATGCATACTATTAGAGATAAAATATTCATCAGCCAGTTCTTTTAAAGATACTGTTAGCTCTTTGTTAATTAGATGTACTATTACATGAAGCTGACCATGCAACTTCATATTCATGGAGAAAAATACTGAGATGGGCCTGAAAAGTTATACGCTGGTCGGCAAAGGGAATGAGCATGGGATGAAGCCAAAGGCGATAACAAACAAAGGTGATAAAAAAAAGAGTCGGGAAAATCATGTTCACTAGTTCATGCTGACTTCCAGAGGAGTATAATCTGTGATTCTTAAGTCTTCCTATCCCCTATGAACAGATTTCTATACTAGTATGCCTCTGTCCCTACTAGAGTTGGTTTTCTAAGTAACAATTTGATATTGCTAGCTGCTACTCCATTGCCTTCTTGTGCAACTCAAGTGGCAGATCCTTGTGTGGTGAATGGAAAATTTCCAGTCCTGGTGATGACCTTCCTAAGCATCAACGCAGTTCCACTTAAGAGAGCTTCTGTTTTGAATTTGCTGTTTTTTCAGTTCATGTCATTATACTGATACTCAAAGTAATATGCAATCACTACCAAAAGTAGCGTTATAAATGGTATTAGGCCGGGAAAGTGTCCACTACTTAAGAAATGTTGAGTGATGCCACATTACCACCACATTACAAATGTATATGGCAGCAGTGGAACTTAAAAGCTGTTTCACATGAGTCCCAGCATAAGAAAATCTAAATTCACAAGAAAATTTTGCTAAAGATTTGCAAAGGTGTCAGGCACCCTTATTCTCCTACTGACCTCTGTATTTGGAGCTGTAAACATTTTCTCAAACCTATTGACATGGTACCTTTTATGATACCAGGGCCTTTTGTTTTAAAGTGGAAGAAAGTTTATTAAATAAATAAGGATATATACTGTATTAATTGAAGAGAGAGCATCTACCAGCACAGCCCTGTGAAGTTTTATGTAAAAACCTTGCAAGAGAACTAGAAGTAAGACTGAACTGGCAATGAGAGCAGAGGGAAAAACAAGTGTTGACCTGATTTTCTCTCCCTCTCCTTACAGCCATGCAGAAGCCAGGTAGGCTTGTAAATGTGTGCAGACTAGGCGGGAAAGGAGTACTTATTTTGAGCCAAATGGTCTCAAAGCTTGACAATACACTTTGCCAGAAAATTTGCTTTTCTTATACAGGAACCAGGTGTGGCTTATGATACAGTGATAAAATCTTTGATTAGACAAAATGTGACGAAAGTTCTGCACTTGCTAGAATAAAGCTAAACAGCTCTGCCTGTAACTCAACCTCGTTTGCTGCCTAGGAGATAGGGAAAAGAGGAAAGACTGTTATGGGAGGCAGTAGATATTTTTCTTATCTATATACCCTTTAAATGGCCTCATTACAGTAGTGTCTGGATATATTGTTCTTCTTCCTGAAGACTCTCGGGATGTAAGGAAGCAATATTTTACTGATTTTCAATGAGGATTAAGGTACAGGGTACAAGCAACATCTGTGGCATTGTAGGAGGCTGATGCCAGCTCCTCAGTTTCTACTAATCTAGCTATGGACCTTCCCTCAGTTCTGTTTTTGCTTTTTGTATGTGCAGCTCCATGCACAATTTTAAGCATCTGCAGGGAGGTTGCCTTCTTTCATATGTGTAATCATATTTACCTAAAATACAAGATTCTTCAGTAAAAGCAATTGAAAAGGAGGGCACAGAAGAATGAAGTATGTCCAATCTTATTCTGACCTTTCTGGGCTCACAATTATGCAAATCTAATTGCATATACACAGATTCTTCTTCTTCAGACCTAGCATTATTCAAGCAATAATGATACATTGTGATTGTTGTAGTGGAATGTGCTGTGCTTCTATTCACATCTAACCAAATTTTATTGCTCATCTTTGAATTTTTCCACTAAGTAAAAACTATCAGATTCTTTGTGGACTTTGCTGTGCTTTCATCGCTACAGTGCTCCACCATCAACTAAGAAGATTGATCCAGACTCTGAGGTTTCAGTGTCTGATCATGGGTAACTTGTGGTTGATATCTCATAGGCTTCATCTCCTTCCTCCAACTTCCATGTAAAATCTTTGTGGTCTCAAGCAAGCAACCAGTAAATGAAGAATATGATTTATGATTGTGAGAGGAAGTTTTAGCCTATATTACACAAAGGATATTTGAATCATTCAGAAAGATATGGCCTTTGAACAAGGGATTTGGGCAGTGCTGCTGTTCCAATCCCTAACTACAGTTCTGAAACCTCCTAATTTGGTTTGCACCCAACCTTTCAGTGCCCAAATACCATGGGGAGTTTATCACACCAAAGGTTGAGGATCACTGTGAGTTGTACTTCCATTTATGCCTCAGCTATGATGAAGAGCAGTTTGTTGTCTGGCTTATTCTTGAGCTGGCTTTGAATCTAGAAGTGGGATTGTGGCAATTAGCTATTTTCTTTCTGTAATTGGTAATTGGTAGATGCTCTCTCAGCAGCTTGTGTGATGCGGTACGTCAAAACCAAGTAAACTGAAAAATTGGAGCCCAGAATTCTTTGTCAGTCCAAGAGGTAGCAACTTAAAATTAAATGTTACAATTTTTCAGACCTACTGTATACAGGGCCATGGACTTGGTGTCCCTGGGATGTAGTAAGAACATCTCTGAGATTACGACATCTTTTGTGCCATCTAAGCAGTCACCTCCATTGTGGATGGGCTGCTGCTTCTTGCTCCCTCAATCATATCAGCAAATGAGGTCAGATGACAGAAAGTCTCCAAATACTTATGTATTCCCACATTCCCTAAAGATGTGAAACTGACAAAAAGCAGGAGCAGAAAGGTAATCAGCCTGAAACCCTGCCCGTGTTTTGAGAAAGTGTTTGAGCTCTGTCTCAGCCAGCTCTGATTTAATTAGAGGGAGGATGCTACTCCTGTTGTCTTTGGATGCCTTTTATAGCTGAGGTTGGGGTGAAGGAAGGTTAAAGCTCCAGCATTGTAAATAATGTAACAGTATTTTGTCTTGACTTGGAATCTTAAAAAAAAATATTATTAAATGATCATCCTTATATGATAAGAATCTGTTCAAAAAGTACTTTTTGTTGGAAGAATTTTTGTCTATTTTTCACTGGGTGTGCTTTCTGAAGTAAAAATTTCAGAAATATTTAATATGAAGCCCATAAACAGCAAGGGATTGAGCTGTTGTCTTTGGTATTATCGCGGATTTTATTTGTTTATACATTATCATTACAAAGAATGCAAAACCAAGTTCCATCCAGGAAAACATCCAGTTAGAATTCTATTCATAAATATTCAAAACATCATTTTATAATAAATATTTAAAGTGTCTGAAGTGTAGCGACTGGAAGGGTTTCAACACCATTTTTATAAGTATCACTTCAGGGTAGCAC